ACTCCTATGTCGACAAAGCTGATCGCTTTGTCCAGGGCAACTGCAGCCCCTGAAATACTATCCCCTCTATTAGGAGGTATAGGGCCTGGAGACCTAGTCTTCAATACAGTCCCCTCTGTTAGGGGTTATATGGCCTTAAGGCCCAGTCCAAAGGTAAGCCTCCCCAAAATCGAGGAGGAGTCTCGTTGCGAGGTGGGAGGGGTTGGGGGAACCCAAACCCTCCCACTCCACTAGGTCCCAACCCAGGGCCCTGTTGGCAGTGGAGTGGTCCTCTGCCTGCTCGGTGGGATTATCTACCAAAACACATCGAACTCCTGGAGGACAAGCCTCGCCCTGGGTTGCTTCCTACCATGCCGACTGGCTGCTCACCCGTCTGGATGTTGCTTGGTGTGTATTCCCCTCCTGGATGGCCATTGTGGTCAGGGCTGTTGCTGAGGCTGCAGCTCAGGCTGCTGCTGAAGATGCTGAGGCTCCTGCTGAGACTGCTCCTGAGCTTGGGCCCAAGCTCCTTCCCCTCTGGCAGTCTGCCCTGACTAAGCTGTCTCCTGGCCTCTTATAGCCAAGTCCCACTGACAGCATATCTGGCAGGGCTGTGGGGGAGGGGCTCTTTCGCCCAACAGAGTGGAGCCCACTCCCTTCCAGTGTGGGGTTGGTACACCTGTCACAGAGACCCTAAGGAGAGCTGGCCCTATGGCAGACCCCACTAAGGGTGTGTCTAGACTACAGAGTTTTGTTGACAAAAGTGGACTTTTGTCGACAAAACTATACCTGCGTCTACACTACTGCCAAGTTCTGTTGACAATAAGTCGACGAGGAATAACACCTTTTTTTGACAGAGTTATGTCGAAAAAAGGCGCTATTGCATCCATTGTGCTTTTTCCAAAAGGGAGCCTCTAGACTCTCTGTCGAAAAAGTGGCTTGCTTTGTCGACAGAACTGGCTTTAGTCTAGATGCTCTTTTTCGACAGAGGCTTTGTCGACAGTATCTGTCGACAAAGCCTCTGTCAAAAAAAGCCTGTAGTCTAGACGTACCCTCAGAGTTTATTTGAATCATCTGTCCATTTAATCTCTATAGCAAGTTCAGTACATCCAGGTCCTATTATGCTCTCGCATGCATAGTGCGTTTGTTCAGCCTAGACAGACACTTTTCTTTGCCAGTAGTGAAGATGACCTCTTAATCATAGAATTATAGGGTTGGAAGAGACCTCAGAAGGTCACAGAGTCCAATGCCCTGCCCAAAACAGGACTAACCCCAACTAAATCATCCCAGCCAGAGCTTTGTCAAGCTGGGACTTAAACCTGAAGGCTGTGTCTAGACTGGCCAGTTTTTCTGGAAAATCAGCCACTGTTCCAGAAAAACTTGCCAGCTGTCTGCACTGGCTGCTTGAATTTCCGCAAAAGCATTGACTTCTTACTGTAAGAAATCAGTGCTTTTTGCGGAAATACTATGCTGCTCCCATTCAGGCAAAAGTCCTTTTGTGCAAAACTTTTGCGCAAAAGGGCCAGTGAAGACAGCTTGGATTTGTATTCCGCAAAAAAGCCCTGATTACAAAAATGGCGATCAGGGCTTTTTTGCGGAAAAGTGCGTCTAGATTGGCATGGACGCTTTTCCGCAAAAAGTGCTTTTGCGGAAAAGCATCTGTGCCAATCTAGATGCTCTTTTCCGAAAATGCTTTTAACAGAAAACTTTTCAGTTAAAAGCATTTCTGGAAAATCATTCCAGTCTAGACGTAGCCCTAGGGATGGAGATTCTACCACCACCCTAGGCAACCCATTCCAGTGCTTCACACCCTCCTGGTGAAATAGTTTTTCCTAATATCCAGCCTAGATCTCCCCCACTGTAACTTTAGACCATTGCTCCTTGTTCTGTCACAACTGAAAATAGCCTCTCTCCATCCTCTTTGGAACATCAGGTAGTTAAAGGCTGTTATCAAATCCCCCCTCATTTCTGTAGCCTCTCCTTGTAGATCACTCAGGAAGCCTGTAGTAGAGGTAGGATTTGAACCCAGCTTTCTTGAGTATGAGTCCCGAATGTTAACTGCAAACCTATGTTTCCTTCCCAAGCTTTTTGTGAAAGGCACCAGAGGGTCTTTAATGGACATGCATGGAAGCGAAACAAATTTCACACATGGGTTTCTCTGACAAAATGCTTTACTTTTAATAAACATAGAAAATGGATCCCAAACAGTGAAAAACAGCAATCTAACCATTTTATAAACCAGCACATTTATCAGCCATGGCTCTTCTGTGAAACAATATTAACTAATTAATTGAACACAATTGAAAATTAGAACATGGCTTGGAACAAGTAGGTTGCAAGTAAGTAGCAGTATAGGAGGGATCTGAACAGCAATCTAGCCATTTTATAAACCAGCACATTTATCAGCCATGGCTCTTCTGTGAAACAATATTAACTAATTAATTGAACACAATTGAAAATTAGAACATGGCTTGGAACAAGTAGGTTGCAAGTAAGTAGCAGTATAGGAGGGATGTGCAATTGCCAACACAATTAGGGTATGTCTACACTACAAAGTTAATTTGAGCTAACAGCTGTTAGTTCCAATTACTTTCATAGGCGCTAAACATGCAAACTGCTAGTTCAAACTTAATTCGAACTAGTGGCGCACTTAATTCGAACTAGGTAAACCTCATTCTACGAGGACTAACGCCTAGTTCGAATTAAGTAGTTCGAATTAAGGGCTGTGTAGCCACTTAATTTGAACTAGTGAGAGGCTAGCCCTTCCCAGCTTGCCCTGGTGGCCACTATGGACACAACCAGGGAATCTCTTCTGCCCCCCTCCCGGCCCCGGAGCCCTTAAAGGGCCACGGTCTGGCTACGGTGCTTCTGTCAGTTGCAAACCTGCCATGTACCTGGCATGGGATGAGCCAGCCACCCATTCCCACCCAACCCTCCCCCTCTTCCCAGGACCAGGCTGGCAGCTCCCAGGAGCCTGCCTGGGGCCGCAAGAG